AAAAAAAATTGGTCTTTTGCTTCAGCCTCGTTTCCATGTAAGGGCATTGTATGCCATATTTTTGACATGCGCATTCCATGGTTCTGGAAGAAAATTTGGCATGGCTCCAGATCAGGAAATATTTGTCCTATAGAGGCTAGTAACCCTGCCAAGTTTGATGCTTTTATCAAAAAACGAACAATTTTGTCCCTTAACAGCTGGACTATAAAGGCAGTTTCCAGCTGAAACTGGAGTTGTTCGGCTCGTATTAATTGATGACTCTTTTCTTCCACAGGGCCGAAATAATGAAGATCTGAATTAATCTTTTTAATAACCACACTGAGATTAATTTGTCATTATAAGGCACCAGAAATGGCGCTTCAGCCGTTTACAAACGAACAGTTGAACTATTTCAAGTTTGCTTTCGTCGTCCTCAATGAATTTCCAAGAGCATTACGTCAAACGTTCAAAGCGATGTGGGACAACACCTTTGGACATCTCCCTGGTTTGCAACCCTGGGATGACTCCATTGCCGTGAGGAATATGTTCCTCGCCACAGAAGGTGGAACAACCAAAGTTCCTACGCACCTCTCTTATGACGAATGGGATTGTACCGCGTTATTCCAGGCCACAATCTTCGCACGTTCTTTTGCTTTACCCGACAGCGCTGGACATCACAAAACACTCAGTAATCTGTTCGTAAGGCCCCGTGGATTACCTCATGGAAGTTTTCATGCTTCTGTAATAAGCCCGGGTGGAAACAATGCTGAAACTTTCGCGTTGGCGATCGATCAACTAAGACTTCTTAGAAACGCGTTTTGCCACTCTTCCAGTTCCAAGATGGGCAAACCAACATTTGACCAATACATACAGCATACTAAAGACGCGTTCGGAGCCCTTATTGTGTCGACAGGCTCTGTTGACGCCGTTGGAAGTTTGACTGAAGCAGACTTCCCTACACAAAGAGTTCGCGCTTTGGAGGATGAGATCAGAAAAGAGCTCCAGGCAGAAAGTGCTTTTCTCAAAGAAGACGTGAAGGATGAGTTAGTGGGAATTAGGTCTGACATTATGCAATTGAATCAGGAACGTAAAGAAGATGTAACACGTGCAGGACGAGAAAGAAAAGAGGAGGTTAAGGAGCTACAGAACCAGTTGATGGAACACATCAGAAAAGAACACCAGGGACAGAGAACATCTCTCAAGGAAGATGTGAAAGATGAACTGACGAGGATAGGGTCTGATATCGCGCAATCGAGCCAGGAACTTAAAAGAGATGTAACACGGGCAGGACGAGAAAGAAAAGAGGAGATTCAGGAACTGCATTACCAGCTGAAGGAAGACATCAGAAAGGAGCGTCAGGCTGAGAGTGCACTTCTCCAGGAAGGCTTGAGACAAGAGTTACAGAGCATAAGGTCTGATATCGCACAATCGAACCAGGAACGTAAAGAAGATGTAACACAAGCAACGAGAGAGAGAAAAGAGGGCATTCAAGACCTAAAGAACAAGTTGGAGTTAAATACAAAGCAGTGGAAAGAAGAAACGTTGGCGTCTTCAGTGAAGAGGACTTCCACAGCTGATCGAGAAATCAATGACAATGTTGCCGAGTTGAAGCGAAAGTTTGATGAAGTGCTCAAGGATAGGAGATTACCAGGTGAAAACAACTGTTAGTTTGACACAAATGTTTGTTGATATAGAGCCCTGTTAGTTGTTATTGACAATACTGAGAGAATTTTGAAATCGATTTTTCAGTTTTTGCCTACAAACAGGTCATTTATAAATGATCAGAAACTCGGACAATTTTCAAAGAATTTCGTACAAAGAGTATACTCTATACCAAAATGTTTCCTAATTAAAAAAAAAGAAATTTCCCTCTCACTTAAAAACAAATTTCCAAAGCCTATCCATCGAGGGATCAATAAGTTGCGTTATTGTCTAAAACTACAACGCCTGACAATTGTGAAAATTTGCCTATAGCTGCACTTAAATTAATCTCAATATATTGTTATTTCCTTTTCGACAGAATCGAAACCCCTTCTTGGAAGATCGTGCCTTCCTTCCAAGGTGCCCAACTTCGCTGGACGTGAGAAGGAATGTGACGAGATAATTGGTCACGTGACTTCAGCTTCTACTCGACTAGTGTCAGTGTGGGGCTCACCGGGATTCGGAAAAACGTCCGTTGCAATCGCAGTGGGACATGATCTCCAAGCACAAGGCCTGCCGGTATACTTCCTGTCATTGCGTGGGCTGAACTCTAAAGGCGATCTAACATCAAAATTTCTTGGCTTGCTACGCCGGTCTACGACGCTTAAAGATGATCATCAAGCACTAGCACAGAGTTTATCAGCGGATGATGAACTTTGCTCAATATTTGATGAGATGTCTGATCGCTGCTTTTTCATTCTTGATAATGCCGATGATTTACTTGAAAGTAGCGAACCAAACGTGAAGGAGGAGGTCATTAATCTACTTGAAGAAATTCTGAATCGCAGCGACAAAGTGACTTTCCTTCTTACCACAAGGGAATCTTTGAGGTTCTTGGATTTCCGTTTGCAGGGACACCAGGCTGTAAGAATAAGGGAACTAGATGAGTCATCTTCTCAACACCTGGTTCAAAAGTTGCTTCCAGAAGCCAGTGGCTCTGACTGTGTAAAAGTTTCGCACATCTGCGGGAACGTGCCCCTAGCAATGAAGCTGTTGTGTTCCTCTGTTACTGAAGACGGTTCTCAACCTGGCCCTTTTGTTGACGAGTTCATGGAGACGGCCACAGCGGACAACATTGTGGAAATGTTAGACAACCCAGATTACCCCAGCGATCTGAGAATGAAGTCACTTTTCGACGCTTCTTTCCAAAGACTCACTACTCAAGATAAGGAAGCTCTAGTATCCTTGTGTATTCTATCCGAACAGTTTGATCTGGAGATCGCCGCAACTGTTCTGGGAATAAGATGAACCGAAGCTTCAAAGGCGCTGCAAAGACTTCAGCGGAAATCTCTCATAGATTCCAGTTCAAACTCTGGAAAATTTACCTTTCACAAGCTTCTTCATTCATTTGCAAGTGAAAAAGGAGAACTTGAGATGAAAGAAACGGTTCTCGACTCCAAAATTCGCTTTTATGAGTTCTACATTGCCTTATTCGAGAAGCTTAACGGGAACTTCCTCACTGGATTTTCCATGCGTTCCTTTATCCAGTTCTTTGAAAACGAACAAAGGATCGTTCAAAGTCTGATTGACGGTTGTTACTATTCGAAGACAGTTGACAGAATTTTGGAAGTTTTGGTCAAGGCAGAGTTGTTCCTTTACTTTCTTTATTACCAGGGAAGAGCTGTGCCCGACAAGATTTACGATTCAGCAATAACGGCGGCCACTCGTCCTGGTAAAGATTATTTCAACAAGGCACTGCTTGGTTCCAAAGCTTTTGGCGAAGTAATTCATGCTCTACCTGGAGGGACGTTGCAGCGGCTTTCTGAAGTCGAGGAATCACTTGTTCCTACCTCCGTCGATGATATCAAGCAGAAAGGAAAACTCTTGTTTTATGGAGGAATTTATCAGCTTGTTATGGGCAATGTTGGAGGAGCGAAATGTTTAGAAAAAGCTGTTTCTTCGATGGATGCAAGTCCAGAGCACACAACACTAAAGCTGATTGCGTTTCAAATTCTTTCGCTGTATTTTGGCTACAAAAATAACTCGGAAAAGTCCTCTTACTTCTACATGAAAGCACTGCAGGAATGCCAAGTAGTGGGAGACAAGGGCTTACTGGTGATCCCTAAAGTCGAGGGAACAATAAAGGAAGGTGAGGCAAAGAAAGCACATTCAAGAAAATGCCAAATCACCGCAAACCAGCCACTTCAACTTGAAATTATCTTTCTCGTGAGCCAAGCAGTTAAGAATTTCTCTACTACTGAAACCTATCAGTGTTTTGCACTCTTGCTATCGAAAATACTTCAACATTATAAGACGGCATTTCCAGCAGGAATGACTGGTTCGTTCCATTATCATTTCACTGGCATACGTTTTTTGCGGACGTTATGCAAACAACAGGGCGCGGGAATCACCATCGAAGAAATACTCGGTTTACCTGGCAGATCAGCAGACCAAAACGAGACTGAGAAAACTAAACTCCCCTCAACTCCAGAAAAACGGAAAGAACACATCCAACGCAAGTACTCAGAAGCTCTAGAGTCAACCAAGCGTGCACTTGCCATCACGCTCAAATTGCTTGGTGAACAACATTCAGAGACCGCTGACAGCTATCATTCATTAGGGATTACACAACACTTACTGGAAGATTATACCTCAGCTACCGAGTCACACAAGCGTGCACTCGCTATCAGACTAAAACTGTTTGGTGAAGAACATCCAGACACCGCCGACAGCTATCATTCATTAGGGATTACACAACACTCACTAGAAGATTATACCTCAGCTACCGAGTCACACAAGCGCGCACTCGCTATCAGACTAAAACTGTTTGGTGAAGAACATCCAAAGACCGCTAACAGCTATCATTCATTAGGGATTACACAACACTCANCTAGAAGATTATACCTCAGCTACCGAGTCACACAAGCGCGCACTCGCTATCAGACTAAAACTGTTTGGTGAAGAACATCCAAAGACCGCTAACAGCTATCATTCATTAGGGATTACACAACACTCACTAGAAGATTATACCTCAGCTACCGAGTGGCACAAGCGGGCACTCGCTATCAGACTAAAACTGTTTGGTGAAGAACATCCAGAGACCGCTCACAGCTATCATGAATTAGGGATTACACAACACTCACTAGAAGATTATACCTCTGCTTTCGAGTCAAAGAAGCACGCACTCGCTATCAGAATAAAACTGTTTGGTGAAGAATATCGAGAGACCGCTCACAGGTATTATGAGTTAAGGATTACACAACACTCACTAGAAGATTATACCTCAGGTACCGTGTCAAAGAAGTGAGCACTCGCTATCAGACTAAAACTGTTTGGTGAAGATCATTCAGAGACAGCTGATCATTCTTAGGGGGTTGGACAGGGTAGTGGTCCTTTACGGTTTGCTTCTAGGTTTTAGGTGTCAATCTTTTTTTTTTCAGTCAACATATTAGTGGTACCTTAAAGGACCCTAGTTAGCCTCCGCTATTTTCTATGCCGTCGAAATTGAATGATTGCATGGTGAAGCGAAATCTTCTTGCTTTACTGTAAGTTGAGTTGAAAGTATGTTTAATTGTCTTCAGTAGTTTCCCAGTGATTTTTCCGTTTTGACATGCTCCAAATAAACTATAATAGCCAACTCTCGCATGTAAACTAAAACAAAGGTGTGGCTGACTAGGAACCTTTAAATTAAAAGGTACGTCGGTCGCGAATTAACAGGTATTAGTATCACCCAACTAGTGGACTAATGCAAATCCTGCATTTTGATTGGCTACGCTACTAGAGGACTATTAGTAATAGTCCTCGAGTAGCGAAATTGGCGCAATCGAGCGTGACGCTTTCTTTCGTTTTATTCCCAAATAAATATTTCTTCAACTTGTATTTGCTAACTTTATTATTGCCTTTTCTGACCGACTAGTTGGGTGATACTAAAACAATTAGACCCTTCGCCCTCAAGGGCCACGGGTCAATAGCCCATACGGCTTCGCCTCATGGGCTATTGACCCGTAGCCCTTGCGGGCTACGGGTCTAATTGTTAATTAGTGTTTAAATGTCGCCGACCAAGTTGCTTATCTTATGTGTTACACGTTGAATGGGAGAATTCTTTGATCTTGTCTGACTATCGCTTATCGTACGCAAATTCTTGTGTGGTGTCCTGATGCCCCCCCCCCCCCCCCCCCTCCCCAGGGAGAACTCCCATATAAAAAGGATGGGGGTACTCGTCTTACCTTTAAGGGCTAAAAGAGCTGTTAGGAAAGTTACGCCTGAAAAGTACCTACAGCAGGAGCTTTCGCGGTACCTTTTGAACCGGAAAAAGGCAGTGTCTGTTAATGTTTGTTTTAGAATTGGTACCTCTTAGGAGTGAAAACAAATTCAAGCCACGCCCACAAAACAGGATCTTGGTATCTCTTGGCGGGTCTTTTCAAATTTTCCGACGAGTATCATCGTCATTTTTATATCGGAGTCCACCCGGGTCCTGATGTCCTACAATATAACTTATTTGCCACGGCCTCATATAGCCGGATTCATGGCCTAATTTGGATAAGGTTATACTTTATTCGTGTTAATGTTAGGATAGGCTTTACCGTTTTTCAGTCATTCTTGGTTTAACCATATTGTAAGATTTTGAAACCTTTAGTAAATTCATCTTCATCCACCCTCATTCGCCTTCATACACGTTCATACACCTTCATTCACCATCATTCACTCTCATTCACCCTCATTCACCCTCATACACCTTCATACATCCTTTTACCTTACAACGCATTCGAAGTTGCTTACTCTAACTCAGATTTTATTGAAATGGAACTTTGTTTTTTTGTTTTCGAATTTTGCTTTAGCTGCGTTTCTATAATTTCCTTTGTCAGATATTCATTTGAGATTGAACCTTGTACCTTTGTACAAGCCTCTCTTCATAATTTCTTTGTTCGATATTCGTTTTACTGCCACGTATACGCTTGTACTGAACTTTGTACTTGTGCCACGTACGTTCCTTTCAAGGGAAGGTTCTCCCTGTTGTCAGTCACTTAGTGTAACAAAGAAATCACGACAGTAAGCAGAATTTTTAACTAAAAATCACGAACTTTGAAAAGAATAATTTAAGCATCTTTTGTTTCCATTCGTGAGTGTATTTACTTAGCTAGCAACATAACTTGTACATTGTACCTAAGTACCTCATATAAGTAAGCTGCATTGTTAACGTTTTTTTGCCTAGGGGGGGACTCCCATATAAAAATTACGGGGGTGTTTGTGGTACATTTTAAGGATTAACAATCGCGGTTTCGGTGCCTCTAATAGGGTTTTTAGCCTCAAAAGGTCCACGGCGGGAGCTTTTGCAGTAGCTTTTAGGTTATTGAGCCGAAAAAATATGAGAGGAGATGATGTTTTGTTTTAGAATTGGTACCTCTTGGTCTAAGGGGTGAAAAAAATTTTAAGCCACGCCCACAATTGGTAAAGTGGAACCCCGCCTTACGACCACCCCGTTAATACCACCACCTGGTTATTACGGCCACTTTATTCTGGTCCGAAAAAAAGCTCAGACAGTCATTTNGGGGGGGGGGGGGGGGGGGGGGGAATTCACGCCACTCCCACAAAACAGGATCTTGCATGGTATCTCTTAGGGTTTCTTTTCAAAATTTCTGACGAGCACTCCCGTCTTTGTATATGGGAGTTCCTCTGGGGTTTTTGATTACATTGATGATTGCATCCTCGACATAAACGAGCGCAAAATAAACGACCGTTGGAACAAGTTATGTCTCTTCCTTGGTGACGTCCGTAGAGAAACCACTGAAGTGGATCCTCGCGTACCAGGAAATCGTTACGAGTTTCCGTTCCCGCAGGCAAGGCAGTGCTCTCCAGAGTTAGATTCCCCAAGTTTTCTGCTCGAGTGTCCGTTCATTTAGAAATATACAGTCCCAAGAGAAAAACCTTTCGTCACAGTGGTTGGCAGGAAAAACTTATTGTCACACCGTCCACACTACGGCTGAAAAATTTGAAAACGCAGCTTAGGCCTACAGTCCACACTAATCCGCCACGAAACGGAGCTTTTCGAAAACGCTCTTCAAACCGGAGGAACTTGAAAACGCTAGCTCTTCGTTTTCGAGCGTACGGAAAACATTTTGAAAGCGTAGCTTTTCGAAAACGATGGTGTTACGATAGTTATGTGATATTTTCCTCTAACACAAATTCAAAATGACTTCTAATACCTTCTAATATCGTTTACCTACACTGTTAAAAAGTAAAATACGTTAAGATCTTTTTGTGAAACTTGCTGGGACAGCTGAACAAAGTCGCTGAGCTCTGTCGTCTATTTCACAAAGTGGAATGAACTGTGCGACTACAATTTTTCGGACAGCTGCCATTGAGCACCTGGCACTCAGTTCACACTGAATTAGCTCAGAAGAAAGGAGCTGTCATTATAATTTTTAAACGACAGTGTGGGTTATTCATTTGAAGCAAGTCTTGGTTAATAAGCCTTTGACCAAAAGCTAAGTAAAGTTAAAAAAATTTTTTGGGCGTTATGAGTTCAGCAGTTTCCTGTACTGTGTTAAAATGTTCACCTCTAAGTTTTGTCAATCTCACAACTGATACGAAAACGGAGACACCAAGGAGGAGGGGGACTCTCAAGATGTCATAACAGGACAGCTCTACGGGGATATTTGAAAGTAACCCCCAAAGGGCGAGGGAGCTGTAGTAAAAATAAGGGCGGGGCACAAATTCAAACGCCACTAGGTCCTACTAGAGTAAAACCGTTGTCGGCACCGTCGGAACTCAAGCACCCCGGGGGAGACCTACCCTAAATAAGTCACTGCACATATTCTGTCAGATCTACAGCAACACGAGATGTTAATAACCGTAATCGTCAACCAAATCTCACAGCGAACTTGATTCAGATGTAGTGCTCCAGAGTAGTGCTAAAGAAAGGGAGACAGGACGCATTTTTGGTTTTGAGACGCTATCGCTGCCTTAATAAAACGTGACCTACCATAGGCCCTACTTGTCTTTACTTGTCTTCAACGAGATTCAACAAAAACTTTCTTTTTTAACAACGCTGCTTTTCTTGATTTAATATTTACCTTCAAACTTCACCAACTCTCTGGAAACACTATTTTTGAAGATCATGTTTGTTTTGGGGAGGCAAAAAACAAAAGATTTAAACAAGATGAAAAGGATGAAGTTAACCAAAGTTCTTGTGTAAGAGCTCTCGGCTATTATTTTCACTTAAAGGTAAAGAAAACAATTTTATCATTCCATGCTGGGGCTAATCCTGGCACTCAGATGAAATGGAAACCACTACGGGCTACTGCTTTGAAGCCGAGAAAATATTGTTGTGAAGTCATAAAAAGAAGGAATTTCCTCAAAGAACCGTTTCATCCTCTAGACTGTGACGGTGATCTTCCAGCATTTGTCACCGTCTGGGACTAAGAGACAGTGTTCCTTAATTAATGATTAGTTCAATAAGGGAAAACAGAGCGAAAAGCTGACACGAGATTTGCAACAATTAATGTTAACACAATAATTGAAGATAAAAAGTCTGTGTTCAAGTTAGTGGCTCATCTCGTCAGCGATTATCTCTGGCTTCTGTAGTATAAAGTGACAAAGAGTACTTGTACTCTCCCCGGATGGGATGCTGATTCATCCATGGTTACTCCCTGGGGGACTCCACTTAAATAGGACGGGGGATGTTCGTCGTACCTTTTAGGGGTTAAAAGAAGCGTTTTTGGAACCTCTCAGGGTGTTCGGCCTCCAAAGATCCACAGCGGGAGCTTTGCTGTACCTTTTGGGTTATTGAACCGAAAACAAAAACATGACAGGAGATGATGTGTTGTCTTAAAATTGGTTCCTCTTAGGGGTGAAAAAAACTTCAAGGCACCCCCACAAAGCAGGATCCTGGTATCTCTTAGGGGTTCTTTCTAAAATTTTCGACGATCATCCCTGTCCTTTTTATATGGGAGTCCCCGGGGTCATATGGGAGTCCCCGGGGTTATATGGGAGTCCCCGGGGTTATATGGGAGTCCCCGGGGTTATATGGGAGTCCCCGGGGTTATTCCTCCGAAATTGAGTACCTGCAAGAGACTATGTGTTTATGCACCAGAATAGAGGCAAAGTGGGGGTATACTGACAAGACTCTGCATTTCTCAATAATAATTGGTGTGACCAAAATGAAAAATAACCACTATGCTTAGACCGTTGTCAATATTGCTGTTCAGTCACTTAGCTCTTGAAAAACCACAACAAATTAGTTTCTGAGGTCACACCTGTGACATCATCCTCCCACATGTCTTTTACTTTTCTCGTGTTTTCGTCAAATCATTTTGGCAGAGTGTCATTAATTTACGTTGCACCTGACGATGAGATGATCTGGGCCTTCATTCTCGCAACTTAAACAAGTCGGACTTGTACATTTGGAGCGGAGAAAATATTTCTGTCAAGCAATTTCAATATTGAATCAAAAAGCTGATATTGGCTGATCTGGGAAAAGAGGTCGCAGCTGTTTGGTCTGTTACGTCATAGAGCGGTTTTCAATGGAGTGTAGAAGTAATCAAGCAGTTACTTTGGTTTTGATTTTACGACACTCTGTCATTGAAAACCACCCTATAGCCAAATGAAATGACATTATTCACCCGCTAGTCACGTATTATTGAGAGTGACTAGTCAGACACGTGATAGGAAATTGGCAAACCTCCCAACTTCACCCTCTGGATCTTCCTTGTTGTTCAAATCCAAGATGGCAGTTACACTGATCTTACCGCGCCACCTTTACTCATTAACGCGAAGTTATTTACGC